GCGTCTTGGTGGTTTGGTGGTGGGCCAGGTGCGTACGTGCGTGATGGCGGTGGTGGTGGTGGCGGTGGTGGTGTGTGTGTGTGTGTGTGTGTGTGTGTGTGTGTGTGTGTGTCTGTGTGTGCGTGTGTGTGTGCGTGTGTATGTGTGTGCGTGCGTGCGTGTGTCTGTGTGTGCGCGCGTGTGATGTGGTGTGACGCGGTGTAGCGTGGTGGTGGTGGGTGGGGTAGTGCGGTGGTGGTGGCGGTGCGAGGTGGTGGTGCGCGTGCGTGCGTGCGTGCGTTGGTGGGTGGAAGTGGCGGTGGGTGTGCGTGCGGCGGGGCGGGGCGTGGTGCGGCGCGGTGGTGGCGGGCGGATGGGCGCGCGAGAAAGAGGCCCGCGCTGGGGCGAGAACGCCATCCTGAACGACGGAGGCAAAACACCGATCCGAAAATGAGGCCCACGCTGCAGCGGGCGCACGATTCGGAACGATTCGGGAGCAGAAATGAGGCCGGCGCCTCAGCGAGAGCAGCATTATAAAAAAAAAAAAAAAAAAAAAAAAAAAAAAAAAAAAAAAAAAAAAAAAAAAAAAAAAAAAAAAAAAAAAAAAAAAAAAAAAAACGCAAGCGAAAACCCAACTCCCGGAAATCCTGTGTAAAAAAACAGTACGCGGGGGGGGGTCGAATGTTCCCAGGACGCCATCAGGGGAAGAGGGAGAGTAGTATTCATATTGAGTAATTGTGGAGGAGGGGGGGGGAGGGGGAGGAGGAGGAGGACAAGCTAGGTGCGCTCGCGTCATATCTGACGTCCTACCCCTCCCTCCCATCCCTTACCATGGCGCTGATTTTCTCTATCCGCGGACGCGTGTCGTAGCGGACCTGTGGCTCCGCGCGCGCGTGCGTAGTGGGTGGTGGTGCACGTGCGTGCGTGCGTGCGTGTGTGCGTGGTTGTGTGGTGGTGGTGGTGGTGGTTGGTAGTGGTGGTGGTGGTGGTGGTGATGGTGGTGGTGGTGGTGCTGGTGGTGGTGGTGGTGGTGGTGGTGGTGGTGGTGTTGGTACTTGTGTGGTGGGTGGTGGTTGTGGTGGTGGTGGTGGTGGTGGTGGTGGTGGTGGTGGTGGTGGTGGTGGTTGGTGGTGGTGGTGGTGGTGGTGGTGGGTGGTGGTGGTGGCGGTGCGGCGCGGTGGTGGCGGGCGGATGGGCGCGCGAGTAAAAGGCCCGCGCTGGGGCGAGAACGCCATCCTGAACGACGGAGGCCAAACACCGATCCGAAAATGAGGCCCACGCTGCAGCGGGCGCACGATTCGGAACGATTCGGGAGCAGAAATGAGGCCGGCGCCTCAACGAGAGCGAGCAACATTTTGGGAAAAAATGACGCCGGCGCCTCAGCGAGAGTCGTTTCCCGGGATTTCCCGGGGATCCTGTGTAAAAAACAGTACGCGGAGGGTGCGCGGCCATCACCTGGACGCCATCAGGGGAAGAGGGAGAGTATTTTCATATTGAGTAATTGTGGAGCAGGAGGAGGAGGAGGAGGAGGAGGAGGAGGAGGAGGAGGTTGGCGGAGGAGGGGGAGGAGGGCGGGGGAGGAGGGCGGAGGAGGGGGAGGAGGGGGAGGAGGGCGGAGGAGGAGGAGGAGGAGGAGGAGGAGGAGGAGGAGGAAGAGCCGATGCGGACCGAGCGCAGCCGAGAGGGCGGCGCGGCCGAGCTGGCCTAGGGCCGCGGGCACGCGGTTGGCTTCGACTGCTGCCGGTGGGCCGCAGAGGGCGGCCTCGCGCCCGCTGCGTCGGCGCGAGGGCGGCCTTCGGCCCCGGCGGGAGGGTGACGCTTCTCGCATGAGGGTCCCTGCGCTTCCGGCCTCGGGGCGTGTTCGGATGCGGCGCGCTCCGCCCCTGAGAAGCGGCAGTGGCCACGACGTGCGACGAGGGAGGCCATGCTCGGCGCGAGCATCCAGATGCAAGCAAGAGGACGAGGGCGAACAGATCGTGCCCCCTTCTCGGCATGCGAGACGGAGCAAAGACCTGGTACAACTCCCGCCACTCCCATGGCCAGGTACTCTGGTTGGTGCTGGGCGCCCAGCGAGGCTTCAAGCAGCCAGCAGGATGAGGGCGAGCTAGCAACCAGCTCAGAGCAAAGGAAGGCGAGCTCCAGAAACATATTCAAAGCAGGCTGAAGGCAAGCGAGCGGATAAAGCAGGATGATGGAACATCAAGACCCAGGCAAACACCAGACGAATGAATGCTTGCTGCGCGATATACGCCAGTCAGAGGGGGCACGCTAAGGGTAAGCTGAAAGCAACGACCATGACGTAAGATCCCAAGTATGTGCAATAGGCAAACGGCAAAATAGCCACGAGCTGGAATCAAGCTTAAGAGGGTACTACGCAGCTGAAGATACGATGGTAAACTAAGGGCAAGTCACGCTGAGTTGAAATAATGTCGAGCTCAAGCTGTCCGCATGAAGCCATGCCTTCACACACAAACAAACAAAGAGCAAGCGGTGAGCAGGCCACCTGCGGGCTTCAAACAAGTGGAGGCAAGCCAACATCAAACAACGATGTCACCAAGGCAAGCAGTGACAATATGAAGAAGAGAAGCAAGACAAGCGGAGAGTAGTCGACAAGGCAAGCCACGGGCAAGCGGAGAGAAGGCAACAGGGGTAAGGTATCCTCCAAAAAGCTCAGACGGTCAGCCGGAGAGATACCGGCCGCGGGGTACTAAATGTTGGTCGTTGGATACAATCAAGCCGTATCAAAAGGATGCGCGGTAACGATGCAAGGGCCTTGGAGGCCCATGGTAACATTTTTCGAACGAGGTTGGCCAGCGACAGTCGCTAAGCATGGACCGAAGGGGCAAGGATGCAAAGGTACCCTTGGTAAGGTTGCCCATCCTTCCTATGCGGGTTGAGAGTACCCTTGCCACCAACCGTCTTTGCGCATAGTACGTAGCACTCGTCAGAACAAGCCAGGGTTGAACACTTGAAGAATGTCTGCAGCAACGTGAGAAACTCTGCGGGGGCGTGGGATACCCCAGCGCCGATTGGACTGGTAAGGGATGGATTGGCAGGTAGTTGCAGAATTGAAATGAAGGGTGGGGGCGCCTGGGGCAGCTCCCCGAACCTGTCCAGGAGAACCCCTCCCCTGGAGAGGTTTCCAAGACAGACCCCTCTGACGGACAACCCCAACGTTCCGCTATCAAAGAAAGGCCCCTGAGAACGCCTCCTGAGGATAAGTGCTGGGACTACGTTGCGCACATCGCACTTAAGGACCACATCCCAGAAATAATTTTGAGCACCCAGGAAAAGTATCCAAACAATGTCGAACGAATATCGCCTCCCAGGGCCCGACACGTGAGAACCCTCCGGATTCTGTACTTTCTTGGTGCTCGAAATTCTTTCTGGTGCTCAAGGCTAAAGGTAGGTTGGAACATCATAACGCTAGGCGGGGATTCTCGACTTGCCACACAAACACAGAAGGGGGAGTGGGGAGGGTGAGGCGTCGCGAGTGAAAGGGTGGAGGGTCGGAAGGTGATCTCTGGGTCCGTCGGAAAGGGTGTCCCTATGTGACGGCCCCGGAGGGGCGCGGTACGATGCCGCCAAGATGGGCTCAGGATGGGCCACGGGAGGCCCCTAAGATAGAGGCCTCCTAGATGGGGTCCGAGTCGATGGGGTCGGAGGATCGCCGCATCGCCAATGTATCGACGAATCATCGGCGACGCCGGCGATGCATCGGCGACGTCGGCATGAGAGAACACGGGCTCCACATCGAGCCGCATCGTCGATGCATCGGCGATGCGGCGCGATCCTCCGACCCCATCTACTCGGACCCCATCTAGGATGCCGCTAAGAGCAGCCGAGATACCCGCCATTCGCAAAAAGTGTGTAGAACGTGAAGCAGGAAGACGCTGAAAGTATCACAGGTTGGAGTTTGTTCTTCCACTGTTCGACGGCTACAGAGGCGGCGTCAGCGCCAGATCGTGACACTACCCGCCCCCTCCCCGCCCTCCCCCCCCTGGACAACGCCCGCCACCGTCAGAGCGATAAAAAACATGGCGTAGGACTGCGTTGAGAGTAGATAGGGTTGCACCCCGCCCCCTGAACTGCTTGCAAAAATAACCGATCGATGACTGAAGCTACCAGCTGCTCAACATGGACTTGGGTCTGGGAGTCCACGCATACGCACATCCAGCGAGACAGAGGGGTACGCCTGCCAGGCCCATCCAGAGGCACGGGACGGCGCGCGTGGAGGGCCCGAAGAAGCGCGCGGGAGGAACCACCAGACGGTCAGAACCTCTTGCGGCCCCACGGCTGCTCATCTCCAGGGCCTCCCGGCTTCGGCCGGCTACACGCCGGAGTGACCTCTGGGCAAGAGTGGCCTCTGGTGCGCGGCTCCTGGGGGGCCGTGGGGGGACGGAACACGAGCGCGCAGGACGCCAATACCGCCTCGCGTTCGGCGATCGGGGGGCCCCCCCTCTGGGCCCGCACCAAAAGGTCACTCCGGCGAAAGGTCACTCTTACGTGTGGTCGATTCGGGCGGAGCCCAGGGGGCCCCGCCCCGGGCCCAGGAGCCAAGGGAGGGCTGCAGCGCGCTGCACGGAGGCCCACAAGCGGGGTCCCAGGGGAGCCACGGAGGGGCCCAGGACTGCCTCTGCGACGGCCCCCTTGGCAGCACAGGATGCCCGAGAAAGGAGGGCCTGGCGGGCCACGACCTCCAGACCAGTGGGCCCACAGAAATGCACCGAGAGATTCCTCTACGAGTCCAATATCCGAACGTATAATGTAAGAACAGGTCCCACCCCGCATTTTCTCAAGTGTAGATATACAAGTATGAAGTATGAACTATGAATGCGTACACATGCGCACACATACATGAATGCGCTATCTCTCTTTCTCTCTCGGTATCTCTCGCTCTCCCTCCGTCTCCACCTCCACCTCCACCAGCTTCTCCTGCCCATCCTCGTCCGATTCATAGGTTTCCTTATCGTTCTCCTCCCAATGATCATTTTTCATGCTGCTCCCCATCCTCCTCATCTCCACCTGATCCTGTGCCGCCATGTGCTTCGCAACATGAAGACACACGTAACGTCGGCGGATGTAGCGTCATCGTCGTGAATGTGTTCCGCTTCAGATTCCGAAGCAGAAGCGCAGTCTCAATCCTAGACTAACTCTCTACACGCGCTGCAAGACGTTGAAGTGCGTGCGCAGCCATGCCAGCCTGAGGGGGTCGGCGGCGGCTCTCTGTCCACAGCGGACCAATAAGCAGTAGCCCTGATCTGTTCGCTCGTAGATCTCGGCGCTCAGGCCGTGTGTCTCGCAAAGGAAGCAACAGTCCAGGAATCCGCCCCACGTTCTCCTGTCGGTGCTGGAAGCACAGCGCATCAGTTGGATGTAGTCCCGCAGGGGTACGCCAGCTACCGCCTGCACGAGCGTGTCCACGCACACCCCATCAAACTGCGTGCCCTCTGAGACAGAGTTCTGAAGCCAGTGCACGTACTCTCGCCGCAACTCCGCCCCCGTCATCGCCGCCGACAACGCCTCGACGCTGCCCGGGGAGGGCGCTCGGCGAACCCTGGCAACCTCCCGCGCAAAGGCCTCGAAGAAGCAGTCGCCGTCAGAGGGCACGTCGAGGCAGACGAACGCCGAGAGCTCGAACGCGGGGCAGCCCCCTCCGGGCGGCGGCTCCCGGCCCATCCTCAGGCAGATGTCCCGCACTGTGGCCGCGGGGCCGCGGCTCTCCAGAGCGCCTGGGGCAGCCCGCTGGACGGAGCCATCGGCTCGAGCGCTCCCCGGGGCTCCGATCGGGTGTTGCTGGAAGTGCCCTTGGCCCAAGGAGCCCCCAGGATTCTCGGGGTGGCCCAGGCGGCCTCCAGAGCACCCCTCTCGACGCCCAGAGGGCTGCAGGGGCTCCCAAATTGAGCGAAAAGCCAGGGGCACCTTGGGCCAGGGGCACGTCTAGCAACACCCGATCCGAGACCCAGCCTCATGTTGAAGACGGTCTCCTGACTCGACCTCGCGCGGCCGCCATGGTCAGAGGCGTGGCAGGAGCCGAAGCCAGCAGTCGCGTCGCTCTCCAAGCTCGGGGATCGGTGGACGCCATGGGCTGCAGTCGCTTCGGCCTCGAGCCCTGTGGGCACGACCCTTCTGGGACTCCCGGGGCACGACCAGCCGGAAACATCGAGGGCCGATGCATTCGTGCTGGCCGCGGCTGAGGCGCCAGGGCTGCCCCACTCCTCAGGCCCGCTACTGCTGCGGAGGCTCGCCTGCGCCCGCGGATGCACGCCAACGGTGTCCGGCCTGCGGAGGCACGCCAACTCGCTGGGCGCCACCCACGCCAGCCGCGAGCCGCCGCGATAGCGCACGCGGAGCGAGCCCTCGGCGAGCAGCTCGCCGCGGTGGAAGGTGCACCCGCCAGCCACCTTGACAACGGTGCCGTCGCGGTGCCACAGCCCCTCGGACGCGCTCCAGACCTCTGGGGAATTCAAAAACAGCCTGGCGAAGGACCCATCCATATGCAGCTGTGAGTACCGTAACTTGGTGTATCGTCTTCGGTAAAGCTCCCGATAGGGCGAAGAAACATATGAGAGATGAGCCGAAGTGGGGGTGCAACTGCATGCGAACCCTGCAACTGGGGCCTTCGGTGGAGCCCCTTATGGGGCCACGGACTGTGTGAGGGGAGCGCCGAAATGGGGGGTGGAACTGCTTGCGCACTTTCCCACTGGGGCCTTCGGTGGAGCTCCCTATGGGGCCACGAACCGTGTGAGGGGTACGACGAACTGGATGGTGGAACTGCATGCGAACTTTCCCACTGGGGCCTTCGGTGGAGCTCCCTACGGGGCCACGAAACGCGTGAGAGTGCGCCGAAATGAGGTGGAAATGCATGCAAACTTTCCCTTTGAAACCTTCAGTGGAGCTCCCTATTGGACCACAAACCGTGTGAGGGGTGCGCCGAAATGGGGGGTGGAACCGCATGCGAATTTTGCTGCTGGGGCCTTCGGTGAAGCCCTAGGGGGCCACGAACCGTGTGAGGGGTGCGCCGAAATGGGGGGTGGAACCGCATGCGAACTTTCCCACTGGGGCCTTCGGTGGAGCTCCCTATGGGGCCGCGAACCGAATGAGGCATGTGCCGAAATGGGGGTTGGAACCGCATGCGAACTTTCCCACTGGAACCTTCGGTGGAACTCCCTATGGGGCCACGAACGGTGTGAGGGGTGCGCCGACATGGGGGGTGGAACTGCATGCGAACTTTCCCACCAGGGCCTTCGGTGGAGCTCCCACTGGGGCCACGAAACGTGTGAGTAGTGCGACGAAATGGGGGTGCAACTGCATGCGAACTTTCCCACTGGGGCCTTCGGTGGAGCTCCTTGCGGGGCCACCAAACGTGTGAGGGGTGCTTCGACATGGGCGGTGGACTGCATGCGAACTTTCCCACTGGGGCCTTCGTTGGAGCTCCCTATGGGGCCACGAGCCGTGTGAGGCGTGTGCCGAAATCGGAGGTGGAAGCGCATGCAAACATTCCCATTGGAACCTTCGGTGGAGCTCCCCATGGGACCAAGAACCCTGTGAGGGGTGCGCAGAAATGGGGGGTGGAACTGCCTGCGAACTTTCCCACCAAGGCCTTCGATGGAGCTCCCTAACCGAACCGTGTCAGGGGTGCGCCGAAATGGGGGGTGGAACTGCATACGAACTTTCCCACTGGGCCTTCGGTGGAGCTCCCTATGCGGCCACGAAACGTGTGAGGGGTGTGCCGAAATAGGGTTGGAACCGCATGCAAGCTTTGCCACTGGGGCCTTCGGTGGAGCTCTCTATTGGGCCACACAAGGGCGCAAGGGTGGGAGGAGCGGGAAGGGGGAGGTGTCTCGTTTCAAAACGAAGACCCAACACCACAGGATGGTTGGGGTAAAAACGATACCGCTACTCCCCGGACCTCTCCCGGGATGCGTTCTGACCAAGAACTCCGAGGCGAATCCAGCGGTGGCGACGAGGGCCTCCCAGAAGGCCCCAAAAGGGGACAACGAGGCAAGGGTAGCGGCACATGGGATGGGCGAGTACCTCTTCCTCCTCCGAGGACCTCCACCGGGTCGCCCAAGCTCGGCGGCGCCGGCGCCGGCGCTGGCGCCCCAGCCGACCTGGCCGCGCTGCCCGGGGCGCTGCCCGGGGCGCTGCCCGGGGCGCTGCCCGGGGCGCTGCCCGTGGGGCCCCCGCCGCGCCCGCTCGGGGCCGGGCTCGGCAGCGGGCTGGGCGGCGGGGCGGCGCCCGGGCGCGGCAGCGGGCCGGCAGGCGTCGCCCACGGCAGCGCGGCGGCTGCCACGCCTGGGCGGCCAGCGGGGCCCTCGCTGTCGCGCACCTCGTCGTCGGCCGCGAGGGCCATGGCCTCGAAGAGCTCGGAGAACTCGTCGTCCTGACGGAGTCCTTCCAGCAGCGCCTGCGCTGCCAGGATGGCCAGGCCGCCGGCCTGGATGAGGGTGCCGCCGATGCACGGCACGGCCGACCCGGCGCAGGAGCTGTCATACGCGGCAGCGTGCTCGGACATCTTCTCTTCGATCGTCTCGGGTTCGCCGAGCAAGCTTCGAACAGCCCGGGTCATCCTACGGCCGCGGAAGTCTTTCTGAAGGCACCCCGACCCCGAGACGCCACCACCGAGGCCCCAGGGGTCCTCGGGCGCCTCGAACGCCCCACCACACAGCTGGCCATCGCGAGCCCGCGGGCCAAGCCGGGGCGCGACCGCGCCGCCTCGGAGCGACGCCGTGGTGGAGCTGCTGTCCGAGCGACCCTCTGGCATGAGCCCCTCGTCCGCGAAGGTCGCTCTCGCAGCTCGGACCTGGAGAGGGCCGCCCCGGCAAACAATCGGCATATATATATATATATATATATATATATATATATATATAATATATATGTATAAGAAATATGCCCCGCGCGCCGGGCGGAATCGCCCGAGCCCGGGCACGGCCAAGACGGAGGTGGCAGCTCGAGCTGGACGAAATGGCAGTGGGCGGTGCCGCACGTGGTGCTGATAGGGATGGTATGCTGTGTGCAAAAGGCTGACACCAGATGCACGTCGTTCGGAAGAAGTGGGCAGAAACATGAAGTAGGATGGCGTTGAAGGTAGAGTGGGTTTCCGCCCTCCTCCTGAAGAGGAGGGAAAAGAGAGAGAGAGAGAGAACAGACAAAAATCAACTGGTAAGGTAAGAAGGCGCCTGAAGTAGATGAGGCATCTGGGAACTTTCAACGACCGTCGGGTAATCGGTGAAGACCGACGGATGGCGGACGGCTGATGGGTGATGCATCCGACGGTTTCGGACATCAGCCCTCATATCATCAGGGGCCAATCGAACAAAGCGAATCCTGTATTATCACTGCTCTGCGCACAAGGCTCCAAGAGTCGAAGGCCCGAGAAGAGGCGGAACCGCTGGCCTGTGTGTTGCTCCTCTTCTTTCTTCCCCGATTGCCCTCGCCCTTGCCTCATCCCTGGGTAATATTTGGTACCTCTTGACCTGTCTTGGGAGACTCTCGAGCTGCCTCTGGCACCCCCCTCCTGAGCCGTCCAGGAAGCCTTATGGTCTGTTTGAGGACATGGTACACCATCTTGGAGCCATTTTGCGCGAACTCGGAGGCCTGGTGGACCCTCTGCAGCCGTTGCGTAAGCCATCTCAAGGCATCTTACACGTACGAAGAACTTACACGCGTACGCTGAGTTTACGCGGAACTTACGCAGAGCTTAGGCCACCCAAAGAGCCCGCATGTTCCCCGAATAAGCATCTCTCCAAGACGGCCTGGGTGGTCTCTAAGACGGCCAAGATGGCCTCCAATATGCCTCCAAGACGGCCAAGATGGCCCCAAGAGAGCCCAAGATAGCCCCGAGGTGGCCTCCATGACGGCCAAGATGGCCGTAAGAGAGCCCAAGAAACCAAAATATTGTCTCCAAGACGGTCCACAGATGCCACCAAGACAGCCAAGATGGTCCAAGAGAGCCCAAGGCGGCCCAAGCAACACCTAAGAGGCCCCTAAGACTGCCCAAGAGGCATCGAAGAGGTCCTCCAAGAAGGCTCGAAGAGGCCAAAACCATTTATGTTCTGTTGGTTTGTTTGAAAGACTTTGGCATTTGCTTCAGAACGGTCCTCCGCCAGCCCAAAACAGCCTAAGAGGCCCCCAGCACCCTCTTAGAGACCATCTTGGGGCAATGTTCGGCAATCTTGGGGCCCTATTGTGAAACGGGCTCGCGGGCGGATCGAGGGACTCTGGAGGCCTGGGGGCGCGCGGGGCGACAAGCGGGAGGCCCCTCTCCTCCCGGATGTTTTGCGCACTTGAGCCCAATCGGCGTCAGTACAGTCATGCTCGCATGCTGTGGGACGCCTCCCACCCCAGCGACACTGGACACAGTGTCGCACAACTCGTGAAACACATCAAACTCTGAGAATACTCTAGGGGACCTCATGGGACAGGGGGTTGAGTATTTAAAAGACAGCACCCCCTACTTTAGTGTCCCATGAGGTCCATCACAGCAGCAGACAGGGAGGTGAGGCCCCTAAGATCCACGGACCACGCCCTTTCCCTCTCCCCCCTTCGGTTCCGGGCCCGGGTCGGAGGGTACTGGGCCCGGCAGGCCCGGCGGACGCGAGGGTGACCTCCTCGGCGTCCTGGCGGGGCGTCCTCCTTCTCCTCTCTCCTCCTCAGCCTCCTCTGCGTCCTCGCCAGCCTCGGTGGACTGGGATTCTCTCTATTCTCTCTGTAGAACCTGTCGCGATGCATTCCGAATCCGGGATTTCAGCGACAGGTTGAGAGATCGCTCGTCGAGCGACCCAGACTCGTCCGTTAGCGCCAGCATCCCCTTGTGCATGAGATCAGTCAGAGCAAAATTCCCTCGTCCTGGGTCGACCTTGGTCAGAGAGAGCGTCAGCTGGCATCTTGCAGTGTGGAACCCACCTCACCACTGTCCCTTCGGCTGTCATCGAGTCCCGGACTATCGCCATCTCGATGGCGTTGCGGCGGTCAGCCTTGGCACCCCCGCAGTTCTTGGACAGCGTATCGAAGAGGGACTTCGCATCGACTATGGCGACGCCCTCGGAAGCCTCGGCGATGGCACGCTCGTCGACGAGCGCGACTGCAAAGGGGCAGAACGTCCCTGAGTTCCACCATTCAGGCCCCCTCACGTCTCCATACAGGGCATCCCGGAAAACGAGCCACAACCACTGTCCCTCGGCGAGAGCCCCGGAAAGACTTAACGTCTCCGCCGATAACGTGGACGAAACGACTCGACGGAGCCTCTGACTTCTCCAAGACAAGAGCGAAACACGAGAACGACGATTATCCTTGATCCTGGAATCCCCTAGCATCACGAGCCAGCCTCCTTGAGCACCGTCTCTTTTAGCGGACCCGGGGCCCCCCGCGTCACTGCACGTGACCATGGTCACGGCACTCAGGTCCAGGGGCCAAATCGTCAGACAGGAGCTGGCCGTACATCGGAGGTGGCGAGCTACCTTGTTAGCCATGAGAGCCGAGGCTATCTTGACCTGTGGGCATTCGGCGCTCAGCATCGAGGCGGACCCGGACACGTCGGGACGAGACTGGCGGGCCGCCCAGAGAATCTTCGCCACCAGGCCGCGATAGTCTCGGAGCTCTCCTGCATCGAGCAGCTCCTCGGGACATTTAACACGCTCCTTGTCGAGTCTCATGGGACGGACCTGCTCCAGGATATATTTTTCCTGGTCGACGAGAATGCGCCCATCAGACTGCTGGCGGATCCTTCTCCCTGCGTACTCGGCCTCACCGACCTGCCATTTACCGAAACGGAAACGACCGGTCAACAACTTCTTGAGCTCACTCTCATATGAGGGTTCGCAAGAAACAATAAGATCGTCGACCTCAATCACCACAAGAGCCCTGAGACTACCCGAGGCATGGTGGGCAACCCAAAGACACGGCTCCAAAAGGGAGCGCCGAAACCCCAGGGACTTGAGGTGATTGGTCAAGGTCTGGTGCCAGCGAATCGGAGCATCGTTCAGGCCGTAGACTGGGGCCACGAGTTCCAGGAGGGCCCCCCGGGGGACGTCAACGCCATCGCATGGCTCGACATATATCTTCCCGTTGGGGCGGGAGAGGGGGTCCGCCTGGCAAAAGGCGCTCTTACAGTCCGATATCTGAAGCCTCCACTTCTTGCCAGCTATCAGCTGGAGAGCAACCAACACAGCCTCCTCCTGAGGAGTCGGAGCGTACACGTGCAGAGACTCCGCGTCAGGATCGGCATACCCCCTCACGCACCAGCGTGACTTTGCCTTCTCGCTGGCTCCCGTGCCCTCCTGCGGCTTCCACCGACGGACCATGCGCGACGAGAGAATCCTGGATGGATCCCTCCGACGGACCAGGGTCGCCTCCGCGGGGGAGACCACTCTCACTGCCTTAGTGGCGGCCATGGCGGACCACTCGGCCGCGTCCGCCTTCTTGAACTCCTCTCGCTCTTCTGGACTGAGTTTGTTCCAGACGACCTCTTGGCCCCGCCGGGGCCCACCTGGAGTCGGTCCGGCCGTGGCGAACGAGGAGGTCGGACCGTGTTCTTCGTCCCCGGGACCCGGGCCCCAGGTCGCCAACTCCTGGAGGAGCATCCGGTCCTGTTCGTCAGCCCCGTCCTCTTCCCTGAGCTCGATCAGGCCCTCCTCCTCTCCGCAAGCCAGTTCGATCAAGGTGCCGGGGTCGCCTCTGGCGTCGTCCGCCGAACTCCTCTGGGCCTCCCACTCCTGAACCCTCTCGGCCACGGAGGCCGACTCTCGGAGCTCCACCGGCGTCACCCCGGGACCCGCGGGGATAACGTGGATGCGAGAGAGCAACCCGCGCATGGGCGACCCGGCTCGCCGAGTGTGTCGAGACGTCGATCCCTCAGCTGGTCGGGCGGCAGCTCGCGGAGATCTCTCTCTGGCTCTTTCAGGCTCGACTGAGGCTCCTGGATTCGAATCGCCTCGACAGCCGTCGATGGTCCTGACTAGACTGGGAGCGGAAGAGGCAGCGGGGGACGGGCTGGGACTGCCTTCTACTCGGGGGCGAGCTCTAGGGGGTTCCTCCAGGCCGGGAGGGGGATGCAACTTGTCCTCTTTGTCCTCGAGGGGTTCGGTCCTGACGAATCGGCCCAGGTCAGGAGCAGGACGGAGGGGGCACGGGGCATCCAGAGCTCGGCGCAGGTCCTCGGGAAGCTCGCTCTGGTCTCCTAGGCTCACAACCTCGCTGCTTTCAGGAATAGTCGGAAGAGGGGACCGGGCTTCCACCGAGGCTTCCGCGGGCTCCGAGGGACGAGCCGACGCCGTTCCGCCTCCTCCGCCAGTAGTGACCGGTCCCCCTGCCTCGGCCCCGATCGCGTCCTGACCGTCCCAGGCCTCGTCCGGGGGGGGCCCTCGGATTCGACGTCCAGAGCCCCCACCTTCTTGCCTGGGTTGCGAACTTCGGCCTGAAGGGCCCGAAACTCCGGGGTATCCACGAGTTCGGCTCCGAGCGCCTCGGCACGCGTCGCCTCTCGGACCTGTTCGACCGAGCACTTCCATAGCTTGGTTCGCATCGCGATCCAAACTGCGGTTCCCCTGTGAAAGACGACGGCCCCGGGGCCGACCCACCGGTCTCGTTGCAGCGCGTGAGTTTTCACCCCTGTCACCTTGCGCCACACGTACACCCACTGGCCAGGCAGAAAGACGCGATCGACATGGGGTCGAGATCTCCGGGCCTCGGCGAGACGCGACTTGGCGTCCGCCGCCATCAAGGCCTTCTTGGCCTGCTCACGGATCTGATGCTTTCTGGCGAACGCACTGGCCGCACTATCCTCCGTGGCGGACTCTGCTTGGACATCTGCTAGGCCGATATCGCCCACTCCCTCGTCGCTGAGAAGAGACCTTGGCAGTCTGGGGTTCTCTCCGAAGACAAGCTGGTACGGAGAGTACCCAGACCGGTGGTAGTATCGATTCTTGGTGGACACTGTTTCATGAAGCATCAACTCGACCTCGGCATGAGACGTCGGCTGGACATGATCGGAGGCCTTCGTCAGAGCGTTCTTGATCCATCCTCCGCGTCGCTCCGCCCGGCCGTTCTGCCACGGAGACGTGGCGTCACAGACATGCTGAAACACGCCTGCATGCTCACAGCCACGGCCGAACGCGCCCAGGAATTCTGATCCTCCATCGCTGATGACGACCACGGGGGGGCCAAAGATCCTGATCCAGCTCTTGTCAAAAGCCTCCCAGATATTCTCGGACGTCAGTGGTTCCCCGGGGCCGAGCAGATGGCACAGCTGAAAGTTAGTGCCGTGATCGAGCATGTTCTGAACCGTCATCTTAGTGCTGAGAATCGTAACGAACAGACAGTCCACAGCAACGAGCCGATTGAACCGGTAGGTTCGGGGAACGGCGGCTCGACGCCTCCACGACGGTCGGGTGTGGCTGTCACACTGCTCGCAACGAAACTCGTGCTTGACGTATTCTATAACTTCGGGCCGAGCCTGGGCAACCTGCAGCATTTTCAAGAAGGCGTCCCTTGACGGGTGGCCCAGGTTCACGTGGGTCCGGGAAACCTCCAGGCGCTGACTTCGACTGATTGACCCGGCCTGCCTCCCCGCTCTCTGACTAGACCCGAGTCCTTCCCTCCCCTCGCCCTCCTCGGGCTCGTCGTCCGAGCCAAGGTCCTCTTGGGCTGGAAAGGAGGCAACCTGTCGGTCGATTGGTCTGGGGGATGGGACCCCTGTCACCCTTCTCTCGGCCAGCCACTCGGGATCCTCCCAAACGCCGGACCACAGGGTCTCCTCCCGGTGCCCGAGGGCGACGATGCGAGCTGACTCCAGGATTCCCTCGCACATGGCCTGGACGAGTCCCGGGGGGTAGTTCTGGGCCGCTCGCGTGAGGGCCCTGCCACAGAGCTGACGATGCTGATGACTCCCGTCGCACCTGAGCAGGAGGGGCTGCAAAATAGACGCACGGTTGGTCATGAACCTGGTTGGTTTCTTGTTGGGTTCTCCTCCCTTCACGGACAAACCGTACTGGCAGAGATCGGCAACCCCCGACACGACGCTCGGCCGATTCAAGATTTCCCGCACCGAGTCCATTTCCCAGGAGCTGGCACCCTCGGGGTGCTCAAGAAGGAAACCACGGCCCCGACCCATCTGGTATTCGGCCACTCTAACGCACAGGGACATGAACTTGAGGCCGGCGGTCTCGGGGTCTGCGAGGTCGGTTCCCTTGAGTCGATGCCAACTGGGACGACGGGCAACGGAGAAGGCCAGACACTCAGGGCTCATGACTATGACCTCGGGCCGATCTCGCTCTATGATACTCCACATCGCACGTTCCCCTGACGGAGACCCGAGATCATAACCGGTCCGTAAATCCAGGCTCTTGGAAACGGGATAGCCCTGCCCTTTCAGACTGTCCGCGACCCGTGGGACCGAAAAGAGTTCCAAGATCAGTTTGCGGCCGGACCCCAAAAGCCAGTCCTGGACGAGCTTCTTCCGCCGCTTCCGCTGCTTCCTCACCGGTCCCTCCCCTCCTGCGGCCAACACGGCGTCTCGGACCTCCCTGGGAACCAGGCACTCACTTTCCTGGGAGAAGACCAATCCTGAGATCGAGGGGGCCCGGCCAAGGGAGTATATACCTTCCAGCGGAGACGCCGGTCCAGCCGGAGTCCTCGAACACGAGCCGCGCGGAGGTACGTTCGTAGACGCCGAAGCTGTCCACGCCTCTACGGTGGTGTGGCCCATGGGTTCGCTGGCGATGGCGAGCTGTAACTGCCGCGCCGAGAAGTCTGAGGAGAGGGGGTCGTAGAGGGTGTTTCCTGACGCTCCTGAGCAGCGGATCCTGACCCAGTCCGAAAGCCACTCGCCTAGGTCGCCCGGGTCGGGCCGACGAACTAAGTAGCAGGCCACTTGGGCCACCAGGCGGCATTTTTCTTCTGGATCGAGCCGGTGGGATTCCCAGCCCCGGGCCCTGGAAACCTCATCGAGCGTGACCGTCCGACCTTCCCTAGTGTCCCACCATATGCCCGAGGCTCTAAAGCTGCTGTCTCGGTGACTTTTGCCGAGACAGCGGGATCGTGCGACAGAGGCTGCTCGCCAGATTCCCCCTCCTTCCCCGGGTTCCGCACAGAAAGATCCTCCTGGAGTGGGCCCCTGGAGGTCCCGACCGTCCTGGATCCCCGAGCTCCCTTGGTCCCCCTCCCTGATCCCCCTTCGGCTCTCTGAGCCCCTCAGGTCCCCTTCTGCACGAGCTGCTGGATCGCCGGCGCCAGCTGCGATGCAACCTCGCTGTTGGTCTGGATCGCCTTCATCATCTGGTTGAGGTCGGAGCTGCTCGTCTCTACCGTCGTGTCGGCCGAACCGGACGACGCCGCTGGAGTAGCCCTGGCCGCCCTCTTGACGCCCTCCTTGCTGCGACCCTCGACCTTCGGCGGCTCCCAAGGCGGCGTCTCCAGCTGCTTGGTCCTCGCCGCCCGCCGGGCCTCCTTCTCGACCTTCTTCCCTGGGGTCCGCAGGATCTACTTTTCAGATCCGGCCTGTTGGATCAGATCCTGGCGCGCGGAGATGATGTTGTAGATCCAAGGCCTGGATCAGATCCTAGGTTTGGATGAGTGTCATGTTGGGTTGTATAACGATGTGCATGCTCATTTTACCTGTTCATATTACAAATATCATATGATTATATACACACAATAAAAACGTGTAACATATAGTGTATATATATGTATATATATGTGTATATATAGTCATATATATATGTTTTGTTTACTATATATCATACATATACAACGATCTATATGACGTTATGTCTGTGTAGAGCTTGTTCTGTGCATAATATAGCATCGCTGTGTGTAAATTGCACGCAGTATGCACTCTACGTGAGTGTGGATGGTATTATGTGTAGATGTGTACACGTGTGCAGTGCCACGGTATGCGTATCATTTTTCACACCAGCGCCGCTCGCAATGTATTCGTTCATATGATACACCAAACACCTGTATCAAAGCGTACCACACATGTACCATGTGAATTCGCAGGTGTAGCGCTTTGCACAAACACATTGGTTCGGCCACCTTAAAGGAGCGCGCCGTGCACAGGGGTATTGGGCGAAAGCAGCAACAAAACAGCATCACCACATCGTTTGTCAAACTGTACTCGCATTGGTTTACTTGCTGCTTGGTTGCATTTGCTTTACTTTACGATTTTCTGGCAATGTTTGTGGAATGCGTTATTGTTGCTTTGGTCGCGGGGCGGCGTCGGAACTCGGCGCCGGGGCGGCAGACGACCGCCCGAGCCAAGCAGCGAAGGGAGGCGGCGTTCCGTGCCATTGTTATGTTATGAACATCGGCTTGTTTTTCTGATGTTGATTGTTTTGGTTGATGTTTGTCTGTTCGGCTTTTCGGGCCTCCGAACGCCCAAGACGGCCCAAGAGGTTCATCAGATCGCCACGAAACGGTAATGGGCCTCCGAGAAGGCCCCAAAACCCAAGGGTGCTAATAGACGGCCCAAGGCCCCCGCCAAGACGCCCCAAGAAACCTCAAGAGGTTTTCAGAAGCCTGCTGGAGGCAGGCGTCTTAAGAGGTCCCGTGTCTCCCGAGAATCCCCTGAGAATTTCCCAAGAAACGCCCGAGAGGCCCCTGAGAGAACCCACGGCCCAGGCACGGAGGCGGGATAGACCGAAGGCCTTGATATATCAGCGCGCCCCAGAACACGCAGTGAGAAATCTCAACGCAATCATTGGGATGGACCTGTGACCACCCCGAGCTGATCGAGGCTGACCCATTGTGTCATTTATTTCGCCATTGCTTCCCTGTCGCCTCCGCAACTTCAGAGCGCATGCACGAGTCGCCAAGTGCGCCCCCTCAGAAAACTCAAGGCGCCAAAAACTTGACGACGCAGAATGCGCCTCCGTTGAAACTTGAGCTCTGGCTGGCAAAACTGCAAAACGCACATCCGCAATCCAGTGGTATCATCTCATGTCCCTTCCCCTCCCGAACCTCCCTCGCCACCCCTATCGATGAACGTCTGCTCGCCGGAATTGCACTCCTGCGCTAAACGACCTGCGATGCCGCCTCGTACGCATCGCACTCGGCAGGAGGCGCATAATCTGGCAGCGTCGGCTCCTCCGCTGCTGGCAACTGCGACTCAGCATCTGGCAGCTGCGAGTCAGGATACGGCTCACCAGATTGCGTCTGCGAATCTATTGCCCCAATTTGGAGGCGCAGGCCGTTGATCTCCTCCAAGATGCTGCGCTCCTCGAGATGCATGGGCAGGGGCTTGCTAGGTGAGCGGCCTTCTTGAGCCGCGGCGGATGGGGAATCAGTCTTCTCCAGCTCCTCGGCCGTCGCAGGGATGGTTGCGGCTGGCATCTTGGGCGTGGTCGGGGGCGATGGTGGGTCCCAGCAAATGATATCACCCTTAGGAACGGCACTGGTGGCGACGGCACCGCCTCCGTCGTTGCCCGTATTGGACCCGACCCCCTTGTCGGTTCCGTTGGCTGCTGCTTCTGGTTGCTTCATTGGCTCCGCTCTGGATACCTTCGGGTACATGATTTTGATGCCGTCACCGCCTGGAACGTAGAGCGCACGATACTGAGGAATCGTTGGTGTCGCACTGGACGCGCCGTCGTCAGAACGCCCCTTCTTGCTGGGCGGCTGCTGGTCTGGAGCGTGGCACCCTCGTTGTGCGAGCTCCGCCTCATCTGCATCGTGCCTGCGGAGTTCAATTGTCAAAGGGAGGTTGAACGTGAAGTTCAGCTCATCCTGGGTGCCTGGCGGCGGCATCGTGACTCGTAGGCGGAGATCTGGCTCGTGCATTGTTCAGACAATGGTTTAGTTGAACTCTTGAGCCGATGCTGCTACCTACAGGACCCAGTTGGACCCCCAATGGAACCTCAATGGGATCTCAATGGTAATCTCAACGCTGAGTTTTATCAAGGTCCCATCAGAACCTCAGTGGAACTTCAATGGCAATGTCAAGGGTGAGCTGTCGCAAGATCTCACGGGAACCTCAGCGGGACCTCAATGAAACCTCAACGATTTCTCAACGCTGAGGTTTCTCAAGACCTCAGTGGGACCTCAGTGGTACTTCAGTGGAAGCTCAATGGAATCTCAGTGTTGAGATTTCTCAAGATCTCTGTAGGACTTCAGTGGAACCTCAGTGGAACCTCAATGAAACCTCAACGAAACCTCAACGATTTCTCAGCGCTGAGGTTTCCCAAGACCTCAGTGGGACCTCAGTGGGACCTCAGTGGGACCTCAGTGGGACATCACTGGAACTTCAACGAAATCTCAGCGCTGAGATTTCTCAAGATCTCAGAGGGGCATCAGTGGAACCTCAGTGGAACCTCAGTGGAACCTCAGTGGAACCTCAACGATTTCTCAACGCTGAGGTTTCTCAAGACCTCAGCGGGACCTGAGTGGAACATCACCGGAACCTCAACGAAATCTCAGCGCTGAGATTTCCCAAGGCCTCAGAAGGACCTGAATGGTATTTCAGTGGAATCTCAACGGGATCTCAGCGCTAAGGTTTTTCAATATCTCTGTAGGACCTCAGTGGAACCTCCATGGAACCTCAATGGAACCTCAATGGAATCTCAACGATAAGTCAGCGCTGAGATTTCTCAAGACCTCAATCGGACCTCAGTGGGACTTCAAGGGAACCTCTTCCACCCGCCCTCAAATCCTAGCTCGCCACAGGATCGAACGCCACATTTTCGTGTGACCCACGCGTGGGGCACTCAGCCAGCTCGAGATCTGTGCAAGGTCGCTTCAGCCTCTAGAGGTCCCGCTGGACGGGCGGGCTTAAATCTGGCACGCTGCGTAACCGGTGCTTCACCACTGCGCGGTAGCTGCAACACCGTTGCAGTGCCTCATGCACGATAGGGGCTAATTGGCAGAGATGGCAAAAACAATGCGTGCAGAAACAGCTTGGTTAAGACAGTAGTGTTTCTATGTCGGTTATGTTTGGTAGTCCCGTTTGATTTGAACAGTTGTTTTCAAAAGTCGGCTGCTCTGATTGCACGTCACTGCTTTCCTAGGGCCTGCATGCAGCTCTCTGCAATCTTGGCGGCGAATTGCGTCGGGCATGCCTGGCTGGCCGACAGGGGTTTGCGATTGCCAGTCGTCCGCCCCATTTTATCTCTACGAGTGAGCCTCTTAGTGAGGCGCCGCTTCCTCCCAGTGCGCACAAGCTGAGATGCTGCGATGTCGCCTGGCATGTTGGTATATATCTCGAGGCACTTCAGGGTAGGCCCTCCGAAATTTCCAAGGTTCGTCACGTACCTCTTGCAGTTGCAATCTCCTAGGGCAGTTGCCATCCATGGAGCTTGAAACAACAGAGACCTGATTGGCTGCTCGACTGCAACGAAGGCGCCTCGGAGCGTTATGAAATATAGCAGCCAACTCATAATCATGCTGGAAACATTGCCGTTCAGTACCCTTTCATCGCTCTCTCTACCTAAAATGCCGCCTCCTTTGCAAAGGCGATGGAAGGTGCCTCGAGACAGGAACGACAGCCAGGTCTTACACTCTGGTGAAAACCAAGCGAGGCCACGCGGTTTCAAATGCGCTGCCAGCCACGTGCAGTAGAGGGCCCCCATGAGGGAATTCATATTTTCCCAGGGGTCGCGCAAAACTTCAAATCGACGTGCACATCCGCCCAACGACTCATTCACTATGGTCATTGCCTTCGCAGCGCCAGCGAACACCAAAAGAAGATCAATGTGACGAAATTGAACTGGCGTGTCCCACGAGTGAGCTTCCGTCTGGACCATATCCAGAAGCTGGCACCTGTCGATGGTGTATGGCATGTATGCCTGGGGAATTCATGTTCTGCATCCTCCTCCTCCTCCTCCTCCACCTTCCCCTACGACTCCTCTTCTGCTCATCATCCCCCCTGGGGGTGCGAGAGAGGGCAGGGAGGGGACCGGAGACGGACAATGCAGTATACATGTGCCCCGATTGTTGAGGCATCGCCTGTTCATACGGCAGTCCCGCCTTCTCTACAATATCATAAGCTCGTTCTTGGAGCCACGACGGAATCAGCGTGTCAGCATCGTTGGTCATGGGATTTGGGTCCACGGCAGCCGCCATGCCAACTGACCTACTCGAAGTGTCAAGCAATGTTGGGAGCGTGTATGTAGCGGCTGATGCCAAGGTTTGCTAGCAAGCCGAAGATTTTGAAAATGCGGAACTCGAATTTGATCCGACTGGCCTTCTCGGCTGCGGTACGGAGCGTCATATTCAAGCTTTCGTCTTGCCAGACTGCGTAGAACCGTGGATTGCCGTGCCATCGAATCCTAAAGATTTTAAGCATTTATATTCGCTGTCTGGCAACGCACACTCTAACCCACCCGTTTTCAGATAACACTCTCTAGGTAAAGCCAGCTCAGGGTTATATGCTTGGTCGACCTACCAATACGTCGGAGGGTAGTCATGGGGAGAAGGTTTTATTCGATGTGTTAGAATGTATTGGGCTAGTGGCTTGCCATGGGGGTCCAAATTTTAAACCTCATCCACTGTGTTGCTTACACCAGTGTGCCCCCCCTGCTGAAAGCACGCGTGCAAACAAAAAGATTCCTCCTGACCATGTGTAAGGCGAAATGGTGCTTGGGCTGAAAGTCGATATTCGCTGCATCACACCTAACCAGATGAAGTTGCATCAGGTCAAACAACTGCTGCAGACCACGGTTCGATACTCGCACGTCCTCCCTCTTCAGCACCGCAAAGAATTCTATGATGGCTTCCCCTGCCTTGAGGAGATCGTGGTAATGATCAACTCGTGGATGCTTCTTCAATAAATCAACTGCGAACGGGAGAAAACACAGTGTCTCATAAGCTTTCAAGCGCATTGGCGCCCCACCGAAAGGGGAGCCGTCAGCTTGTAAAGTGGGTTCCCCACCCAGCATGCTTGACGTTAAATCGGAGAGCCGCTCACCCCAGTCAGCCCCCTCGTGATCGTACCACCTGAAAAGTTCCTCCCGTATGCGTTTTATATTCACGTCGATTTTCACCTCCTTCCCACCCCTAACATCGTAGCAATTCTGCAGAACAATTCGCCATACAATTGTTGAGATGAGCTTCTGGATCGGGCCAAAACACAAAGTGTGCATGGTGTCGATTGCCATTGATGTCGTGGGTTCGATCCGTAGCTGACTGCAGAAAATCGGGTTTCTTCTAACTGCGGGACCTGGCAGAACCATTGAAACTCACCCAGCGCATAGACATCTCCCCCACTGCCATCTGACAAAGGCCAAGGATACCTGACCCATCTCCCCCCTTGGGTCACGGTTGGGGGGGGGAGCTTCAAACGACCGGAGAGTTTCAATGGTGGAAACCTTTTCGGGTACGAAGCGGATCCCTGGGAGTTCTCCAAAACATGATGGTGAACGGTGTCTTCCTCGTAAACACGTCTTTCACATTCATCATATGATCCGACGGCGCCGCGACGTCACCTGAGCGACGAAAACAAAGGGGACTGACGCACGACGACGTGGCGACCTTACGCGGTAGCTTACGCAAGCCGCCAGCGCGGCACGCCGCGGGGAAGAAGAGGCGCTTACGCGCGTTCTTACGCGGACGGCTTACGCTTGAATGCCCGCGCGGTCTACCCCGTTTTTATGTCGCTCACACCTGGTAAGAGAGCGTACACAGCCTCATCTACAGTGAGCCCGTACCCATTCCGACCTTTGTGATAAGAGCATCTCCTTACTAACAGATTGCGAGCTGCTTCGTCCTGTATGTGGATCGGGTGCTCGCAAGACGTGCAAAATCGCTCGTAGTATCCTGCCTCCACTGGCTCCCATAGCCATTCCCCATCGAGCTGCGCGCTCTCCAAGTGCACATGCATGTCACTTTTACTGGCGTTGCAATACGGGCAGCAATTGTTCGCACTTGTAACTGACGGCAGGCCATGGGTCTTGTTGGCGTCCGCCCAGTCCCCTTTTATCCACACAACCTCCGCCCTGAACCCCAGCATTTCTCCATGCCCCTGGATCCTTTGTTTCAAAACATGGGCATCATCGACGGGGTCGCCATTCCAGCGCAACTGGGGTCGACGTCCCGTTGCCGGAGCCTCCAGATTCCATTTGAGATACCGTAGGATAACCCAATATGTGCACCACCCCTTGCACCCGCACGAGCAAAACTGGTTTTCTCTCAATGAACACACGAGGTGGCGTTTCTGGGAGACCATGTTGACAACCCAGACCCCGAGTAATGAATCTGTGTTTGAATTCAAAGCTGATGTGTATCGTACACCGTCGGTGTAAATAGCTAGGGGTATGGGTTCGGGATGCCCTTGTGACATGCATTGTCTGTATATCGTGTGCTGGTAATATGCATCTGGAAGACTCAGGCCGTTTAATTTGGCAAGCACCGATGGGTCCCTTTGAACCTCGCCCCACAAAGATTCATACGCCAACGACATTCTAGTGTCTATTGAAGTCACAGAAGTATCTTTCTTAGTTGGCCGACACGGAACGTTTGGATACTCGAAGAGTTCTGGCATCTTGAAGATCTTGTCCAAGTGAGTGCAATACTTACCACTTTGCAAGTTAGGGGGGCGGGCGTAGTCGGAGAAGTCCCCCCCCCAACACCCCCGCCATCTCCGCGTAGTAACATGCGACCGAGAAGTCTTGGGAGGATATCTTTCCCACCACATACAAACGCTTCAGAAGGTCCAGCAGCTTCGAACCACCCTCCCTCTTCTCGGCGAGCTCCTCTGGAGCCCATGCAAAACACCTAACACGGGACGTGGGGGCATGTTTTCAAACACTTGCGTC